TTGAATGTTACTATAGATCATATTTATATGAAACGTAAAGTGACACCAATATAAGTCAGCAACATTTTCACATTCAATTTAAAAAAATAAAAAACTCATTAAGTTTGCGAAACTTAACGTAATACGTTATGTTACGTTTATGTAGGTGTCACGTTATGTTACGTTTATATAGGAGTCACATTACGTTACGTATATGTAGGCGTCACGTTACGTTTATGTAAGTGTCACGTCACGTTACATTTATGTAGGATCTTGTGGAATACATTCCTATTTAATAGTTTTAGATAATGAAATTTTATAATGAGGTCATTTGGTGAAATTTATAAACAAAAATATATATATATTTTTTTTGTAAAGATTACTAGCTTAAAATTTTTATAATAAGTTAAAAAAAAAACTTTAATAATATGTAAAATTTTTAAAAATTTTTTGGTTAAATAAATCCTCACATAATTTTTTGTTATATAAATATTCAAAAAGTCTTGTCGTATGATTTAATAAGTTATTAATTAAAAAAATATTATTAAAATTAAAATATCAACTAAGGAGTAGATCAATGTATTCTGAACAAGTAAGCTAAGAGTATTTGTTAATATAATCCAAAATATATATAAAAATTTAATTTGTTTAACATTACTTTAATTTTATAATGAAAAATAATATACAAACTCACTTTTTAGATCCAATTTATAAATATTGGTGGATGAATCCAAATAACAAATAATAAAAACAATTAATAAAGAATTTAATATAATAATATGGGTGTTGCTTAAGTGATAAGTATCTTCTTAATGAAATCAAAGGTCTTGGGTTCAAAACTTGGTTATGATATGTATAATAATTTTTTTTTTTATTTCAGCATATATAAAGTTGCCATGTGACATAAGGAGAAGAAGGTTTCACTAGACCAATTTAGGCCTTCACTTAATAATAGCATATATAAAGTAGTCACGTGACATAAGGAGAAGAAGGTTTCACTAAACCAATTTAGTCCTTTACTTAATAATAGTTTTATAAATACTATTTTATATAAGTGATATGATTGGTAAATAATTAAAAAAAAATGAGAGAAAGTGTTATTTTCAATATTTTAATTAATTGTCATATTATTAAAATTAAAAAATAAATTCTTGAATAGCAACGCTCTTTGGCAATTTATACGTGGAATTATTTTGTGAATCTTTTTCTTATATGCCTTATTATGCATAAATAATGTAAATAAATTATTTAAAGGGAAATAAAATTTTTAATTATCCACTTTTAACTCTCAAAACTATCGCCTCGTTTGGGAAGTCGACTATTTTAATTTGTTTGGTATTGGTTACAATAGTCAATTTTTTAGTCAATTTTGGCTTGGTTTTGTGTTTGAACTTTTTTAATATCGTTTGGTTTTTGTTTTTGGGTTTTTTTAACTTTTGTAATAAAAAAGTGTAATGATTATGGTTTGGATGTAACATTTTGCCTTATTAGCTTATATGGTCGATTTTTTCTTTTTGTATTTCTTTAGTCCTAAAATGTTTAATGAGCTCAAATATTTATGTTTAGGAAGAAAGTTGAATTTTTTGGAATTAGATATGATATTTGTGGGAGAAAAAGTAAAATAATTATGGATTAAATATTATATTTTGTTTTATTAATTATTTTAACTTATTTTGCCTTCATTTGAAATGTGGGTTGACTTTTTGGTTTCTTGATTTTTTGACTATTTTAATTTGAGATTAAAAAATTTAATATGGGATAGACTTTTTGACATTTTTTAGTTTTGTGAGTAAAAAATGAAATAATTATAATTTAAATGTGATATTTATCTTATTGACGTTTTAATCTATTTTAACTCAAATTTTTTATGCCAAACGTGACCTTTATCTTTTTGTGAATGTTAATTAAAAAAAGCCAAATTTTAACTTCCAAACATGACCTATATTTAATTAAAAATTTTGAATTTTTTTTATAAAATATAAATAATAAATAAATGGATAAATTACATTGATACCCTTTGGGGTTTGGTCCAATTACTACCTATCTCCTGACGTTTTGAAAATTACATTCCCACTCCTGTAGTTAATAATCTCATTTTACAAACCCCTACTTATATAAAAGATAACAACTCTTAATAGAAAAATAGAAGAAATTACATTAAAAAAAAGCAAAGGAAAGGGAAAAAAAAATAAAAATAAAGTAAAGTAAAGCAAAAAAAGAGAGAGTGCATGAGTTCAATGTCTTCATTCCGTCTAAATAATTACAATAATAGGAGAGTTAGTGTAATTTCTCAAACGTCAAAAATGATATGTATTAAACCTAAACCTCAAATGGTGTAAGTGTATAGGGATGACAATGGATAACCTACCCTATGGGTATCCATGGATACCCAACCCAAATACATGAGTTTTTTCTTTTTTTCTTATCTGTTGGGTAGGGTAAGTGATATTATTTAAATATCCACAGGGGATGGGTATCCACTAATTTCTCCACATGTTTTATGTTTTTATTTTATTTTTTTAAAGGTTCACTACCATTTTTTTAAAATAAGATTCATAACTATAGCTAAATATACATTCAATCTTATTTTATTTTATTTAGCTCAACAACAAAATCAAATACACATTAACTAACATTGTCGCATTATTCTTGTCAAATTTTATATATATCTAGAATTTTTTAAATTTATTTAGAAAAATTCTATTCCTACAAAAAAATTCCATCTTCTTTTTTAATTTTTCTTTAATTTTATGTATCTCATTCTCCTCTCTATTATTTGATCTTCGATAATCTGAAAGTGAGTTATTACTCTCATTTCCATCTTCTTCTTTTAAAAATTTTTATTTACATTTATAGAATGAATTTTCTAGTTTCAATATCTCTTGCAATTGTTTTATTGGATTTCTCTCTAATTTGATGGTAACTTTAGATTGAATTTTTCAATTTCATCTTAACTAGCAATCACCTTAATTAAAATTTTGTACATTTTGTCTTCAATTTCCATGTTTTGGTTATGATTAATTGCGCATTTTTGATCAATAGTCACAATCTTGTCACCGCTGGATTGTCGTCATAGCAAATCGCCATTGCTGTAGTGAGAGGACGAGAGAGAGTGAGAATTAAAACTCTAATTGTCAATAGAGTAGTGAAAACTTATGGAGAAATTATTTTTCGATGTACCTAAAAAAAATATATGGGGAAATTAGTGGGTACCCATCCCTAGTTGAGATTTAAAAAATATCACTTACCCTACCCAACAGACAAGAAAAAGGGAAAACCCAAGTATTTGGGTTGGATCTCCATGGATACCCACATGGTAGGTTATCCATTGCCATCCCTACTCTGTTGACAATTAGAGTTCTAATTCTCACTCTCTCTCATTCTCTCACTACAGCAACGACGATTTGCGATGACGACAATCTAACGATGACAACATTGTGGCTATCGATCAAAAAACGCGCAATTTAATCATAACCAAAACATGGAAATTGAAGACAAAAATATACAAAATTTCAATTAAGGTGATCATTAGTTAAGATGAAAATTGAAAAATTCAATCTAAGGTTACAATCAAATCATAAAGAAATCCAATAAAACAATTGCAGGAGATATTGAAATAAGAAAATTCAGTCTATATATGCAAATAAAAATTTTAAAAAAGAAAAAGAAAAAGAAAAAGAAGACGATGGAAACGAGAGCAATAACTCACCTTCGGATTATCGAAGATCAATTAATAGAGATGAGGAGATACATAAAATTAAAAAAGAAGATGAAATTTTTTTGTAGGAATAGAATTTTTTTAAATAAATTTAAAAAAATCTAGATATACATAAAATTTGACAAGAATAATGTGATAATATTAATTAATGTGTATTTGATTTTTTTGTTGAGCCAAATAAAATAAAATAAGATTGAATGTATATTTAGTTTTGATTGTGAATCTTATAAAAAAAATAAAAAATAAATGTTTATTTAGCTTTGGTTAAGATTGAATTTTTCGAAATAAATTTTAAAAATTCTACATATACAGAAAATTTGACAAGAATAATGTGACAATGTTAATTAATGTGTATTTGATTTGTTGTTGAGCCAAATAAAATAAAATAAGATTGAAAGTATATTTAGTTTTAGTTGTGAATCTTAAAAATAAAAATAAAAATAAAAAATGGTCGTGAACCTTAAAAAAAATAAAAATAACAAATAAAAAAGATTGAATGTATATTTGACTTTGGTTGTGAATCTTAAAAATAAAAAAAAAATTGTGAATATTAAAAAAAAATAAAAAAATTGAATGTATATTTAGTTTTAGTTGTGAATCCTTAAAAAAAAAAAAAAAAAAAAAGAAAGAAAAAAGAAAAAAAGATCAAGTTGGGTTGGAGAATATCCAAACCCATTAAGAGATGGAGAGGGTAGTATCCATGAAAAATGAGGAATGGAGAAAAATAATTATAAAAGAATAGGAATAGAGAATTAATATCCGCCTCCATTAATACCGTTACCATTCGTGTAATTTATCCTAAATAAAATATACATATATTTACATATTTTTTTATTGGGGATGCACCAATAAATCCCAAATTAATAACTTATGCACTGTTTAGTCCTAAAAGTTTTCTTATAGACTGAAAGGTCCCATTACAATGTTAATAACATCAGATACAATGTTAATAACATCAGAGTCATGTTACAAACATTGGATTTCAAACATCTAATGTTCATCAAATTTCAATAATGTTTGAAAATATAGGATGAAAAACATCTAATGTTCATCAGATTTCAATAAATTTTGAAATTATAGAATGAAACATCAGATCATTTACATTATTCACATCATGTTGATGTAAAAATGAGACTAAATGGAGCATAAGAAAACTTTTAAGACTAAATAGTTCAACGTTTCAAAAACTAAGACTTATGGGTAAATTTTCCTTTTTTATTATCTTTTAAATATTCCAACCAAGGTCTAACAGCCTATACCAAACATATCCCAATCTCTCTCTATTTATACTCTCACTCTTTTCACTCTCATCCTCATCCCTTCAGATACAAACATCGAGAGAGAGAGTGAGAGAGAGAGAGAAAGCGGTGATGGATAGCCGTGGCTCTTCTTTCTCTAGCTTCAACTCCTACCTCCGAGCCCTAGCCGACACGCCCAGCCGTCTCGGCCGCCGCGCCGCCTCTGTCTCCACATCCTTCGAAGAAATGAGCCAAGCCCGAGCCCGCTCCGGCTCCGACATGCGCCGAACCCTTCGCTGGTTCGACCTCGTCGGCTTCGGCATCGGCGGCATGGTCGGCGCCGGCGTCTTCGTCACCACCGGCCAAGCCAGCCACCAATACTCCGGCCCCTCCGTCATCCTCTCCTACGCCATTGCCGGCTTCTGCGCCCTCCTCTCCGCCTTCTGCTACACCGAATTCGCCGTCGAAATGCCCGTCGCCGGCGGCGCCTTCAGCTACATCCGCGTCACTTTCGGTTCTCTCTCTCTCTCTCTCTCTAACATTTGTTTCATTTTGCAAAAATCACTAAATCGCTTCATCTTACAGGAGAGTTTGCGGCATTTTTAACCGGTGCGAACCTAATCATAGATTACGTGCTATCGAACGCAGCAGTGGCTCGAAGCTTCACGGCCTATTTAGGTACAGCAATAGGCTTATCCACCGCAACGAAATGGAGAGTCTCAATCTCTTCTCTCCCAAAGGGATTCAACGAGATCGACTTTGTCGCGGTGGCCGTAGTACTATTCATCACTCTCATTATCTGCTACAGGTTCGTTCCCACACAAACTCCATTGATTTGCATCATGAAAATTTTAATTTGAAAAATAATCAATTTCCAAATGTTTAACAGTACCAGAGAGAGTTCGGTTCTGAACATGGTGTTGACGACGCTTCACATTCTGTTCATAGTGTTCGTGATCGTAGTAGGGTTTTACAGGGGAGATTCGAAGAATTTTACTAAGCCGGGTGACCCGAGTCATCCGGGCGGGTTCTTTCCTTTCGGAGCTACGGGGGTGTTCAATGGTGCTGCGATGGTGTATCTGAGTTATATTGGGTACGACGCCGTGTCGACCATGGCGGAGGAGGTCCAAAACCCGGTTAAGGATATCCCTATCGGAGTGTCCGGTTCGGTTATCGTCGTTACCGTTTTCTACTGTTTAATGGCCGCTTCAATGTCCATGCTGTTACCTTATGACATGGTATGTGTAATAAGGCCATCTCAAGTTGATCAATCAGTGCCAAAAAAAGTAATAAATGCTTTTAATGCTATTTTACAATCTTTTGTTTTTTTTTTTTTAAAAAAGAAGAATAAAGGAAGGAATTCATAATATTTTTATTTTTTATTTTTAAAAAGATATTAAAAAAAATACGACAAAGAATATACATAGATGTGTCACACAAAGATCGGATCTACATGATGTAAAATCTACCTTTTGTGAAATAACTGTACGATTTTGTATTTTCCTTTATATTTTAGTTAATTTTTATTTTATGTGCATGTAAATTAAGCATAATCTTACATTTTTTGTTTTTGTTTTTGTTTTTGTTTTTTAAAAAAGAATTTTATGTATGAATGGAGTGTTTTAAAATGTAAAGGAAGTTAAATATGAAAACAAAAATGTGAGAGCCTCCAAAAATTCTATTAAAATTTTTATCAAATATTTCACATGGGTGTGGGATCTACATGGACCCGGTCACACACTCACGTGACACATTTGATAAAATTTTTAGTAAAACTTTTGATACCTTTACTCATATGAAAATGGTTGGAAATAAATACATACAAATAACAGTGTAATTAATAGGGTAATTATTGTTGGGGGTTTTGATTTGGTGTGGGTGAGTGATCACGCAGATCAATAAAGAGGCGCCGTTTGCGGAGGCGTTCAGGGGAGGATCTGGCGGTTGGAGATGGGTTTCGAACGTGATAGGTGTGGGGGCCAGTTTCGGGATATTGACATCGATGTTGGTGGCGATGATGGGGCAAGCTAGGTACATGTGCGTGATCGGACGGTCGAGCGTGGTCCCCGCTTGGTTCGCTAAGATTCACCCCAAGACATCCACGCCCGTTAACGCCTCCGTTTTCCTCGGTACGTTTCCTTTTTCTTTAGCAAAATGTTATGAATTCAAATAATTTATTAAATTTTTTACATGGGGGACTGAGAATTCACATGTGTGAATCTTATTTATATGTAATTATGTGATGGATTTAGTAAAATATTTAGGTCTAGCATTTATCTTTATATTTTGGTGTACTAATGTTACAGATACCAATATTTTACTAAAATTTCTATTTAATATATGTGACATTATGTGAGTCTCACTACATTTAATAAAATTTTTAATAGCATTTTGGGGGTGTTTATTATTTTTATTTTTGGTTTTGGTGGGTTCTTTTTGTGTAATAAAAGCTTGGCTGTTGTTGAGAAGTGGGTCACCACATTGAACCGTTTCAGTTAGGGAGAGAGGTTTGGTTAGGCTACGAGGCGTCCTCACGTGTTTACTGTGGGGCGCCACTGTGATTTGAGTATTTTGAGGGTCCATTTGGACCGAAGGGAAAAGCTGGGAATCGGATGGTGATAGATTTTGACTATTTTGTTGGTTCCACCGTATGGGCCACCCAAATCAGCATTCGGGTCCCCTTGATTTCGAGTTTTTTTTGTGCCAGGGGCCCTTACAAGTACAGCAGAGCCAAAAGTCAGTTTTTTTTTTTTGGTTTTTTGTTCAATGAAGATTGGTAGCTTGAATTGAATTTGCTCGTCCGAATTTGTTCTTGTCGGTCATCCGGATGATTGGTGAATACTTGTCTATAGCGGTTGTCACCTTGTCGATAGCGACTGTCAGCTTTCTTTTCAGATGATCAGCCGGTCAACCGGCAAGCCAAAGTTTGAGTTGTTTGGGACAAGATGAAATTTGAGTTATCAATCATGATTTTATTATTATTATTATTATTTAAATGTTAAATAAGGGGGAAATATAATTTAGTGGTTTTTTAAAAAAATATTTACAGATACATGAATTTTTTAGAATTTTAATTATTAATATTTATAAAGTTTGCCATTGTTTTTTTTTTTTTTTAAATAAATTTACACTCAATTGTAGTTTTCCCTTAAATAAACCTCAAGTCCAAACAGATATAGGAATATAATATCCTAATGCCTATTCAGCCCAGTTCATGGTAATTTATGTTAGCAAGTATAATATTGTGTTAATTAGAAAGTCAAAAGTCAAATAAAACATAAAAAAATAACAAAAATACAGGTCATGACAATGAGCCGATAACAACGAGCTATCATAATTTTCATTGTGCTGTCGTGTGCATTTTTAATGTTTTAATGTGATTTAATTTTGGAAAAATACTTTGTGCTTTTGTTAAGATTGAAAATGTGTATAAAGTATATTAAAATGTGTAGAAATATATAAAGTGTTTTGGGATATGTAACGAATGTATTGAAAATATAAATATTTTAGCATTTTGTACTCCTTATTGATGCTGTGATTTAATTACTTGCTTTTGTTAATGCAAAAATCTGAGAATCTGAGAAAAAAAGAAGGGGGGGTGGGTTTGGGAAAAAAATATGACAACAGATTCCACGGGAATCATGCATTCAAGCAAGACTTTTACAATTGGTGACCTTATCTTTTAGGATGCAAATACCAGTGTTGTTGTGGGTGCTTAGGAAGAAAATATGACATAAAGAGATAAAAGTAGTGATTCATTGCAACAGTTTCCACGGGAATCATGCATTCAAGCAAGACTTTTACAATTGGTGACCTTATCTTTTTAGGATGCAAACACCTTAAAAAGAATGGGTCTTTACTAATAACACCTGTAAGTTCTGTCAACAAGACAACATAAAGTCAAAATAGTTATAATCATAATACGCATTTTACATATTTCAAAACACCTTTACATATTTTTGTTCATTCTTTACATATCCAAATACACTTTATATACATTTTCCAAATACTAGGGCTGTTTTTAGCATTTCCTAAAAAGATTTATCTTTTAGAATCATGTTCATAAATGGTGTTCTACATTTGGTCCTGCTTGCTTGTATTTGATTGTAGTTGCCAGATGGATTTGGGTTTTGTGAATTCTCCCAAATAGTATCTTTCAGTATCATGTTTATAAATGAGGTTCTAGCCCTATTTGCATATATTTTATTTCATTGGCACAATTTAAGCTTAATATATTAGCCTGTTGCCAGATTGATTCAGGTTTTGTAAATTTTTTTTCTGAAAAACTATCTTTCTGAATCATGTTTATAAATGTGATTCTGCTTTAGCCCTATTTGCATGAATTTCATTGGCACTGTTTAAGCTTAATATATTAGGCAGTTGGCACATTGATGTATTTGGATTTTGTGAATTTTCTTAGAAAAATAAAAAAATCTTTTAGAATCATGTTGTAAATGATGTTCTGTATTTGCAAGTTGGCCGTAGTTGCTTGTATTTGATTTCATTGGCTCCATTTAAGTTTGAATATATTAACCAGTTGCCAGATTGATCTACATGACTTGGGTTTTGTGAATTTTCTCAGAACCAATTGTAGTACTATGCCTTTCTTTAGAATTTCCATTTTGGGTGGTCTTATCTGGCTGAAGTAATCCACTGAAAATGACCTAAAAAGAGTGCCACTAGAAATTGTTTCACTTCAATCCCTTCAAGAATCAAGGGTATTCACTTGGAAGTCTTTAGTGATGGGCTGCCTCTCATAATGGAAAGTTTTGAATTTTTTTCATTTTCTCCACTTGACTTGTTTCAATAATATCCTCAACTAGGAGTGTGATCTTTATGCATATAAAGATTGTTAGGTTCTTAATCTTCTAGCCCTGTTGTGTACATATAAGCATCGTTAGGTTCTTATGCTACATATTCCTTTTCAGGACTCTGCACAGCTGCAATTGCCCTTTTCACTGATCTAAATGTACTCCTCAACCTAGTATCCATCGGCACACTCTTTGTCTTCTACATGGTGGCAAATGCTGTAATCTACAGACGTTATGTCTCAGTGGGGACAACAAATCCATGGCCTACGTTGTCCTTTTTATTTTGCTTCTCCTTCACATCAATCATATTCACCATGATTTGGCAATTTGCTCCGCCTGGCAAGCCCAAGGGGTTTGTGCTCGGTATCTGCACTGTAATCGCCATCGCTGTGGTACAACTGTTTCATTGTGTAGTCCCACAAGCTCGAAAACCCGAGTTCTGGGGGGTCCCTCTGATGCCATGGATACCATCTATCTCAATCTTCCTCAATATTTTCTTATTGGGTTCTCTTGATGGGCCATCCTATGTGAGGTTCGGATTCTTTTCAGCTCTTGCAGTGCTTGTATATGTTCTATACAGTGTTCATGCTAGCTTTGATGCTGAAGGAGATGGGGGTCCTAGTCAAAAGATTGGTGAAATTATGAAGGAATCAAAGGAAAGTGAGGACCACAGTCTCAAAGTGTAAAAGTATCACTTGTTTCCTTGATTTTTATTTTTATTTTATTTTTTTTCACCAACTTGTAGCTTTTTTGTTTAGTTGATGGGTACTTAGATAGGATTGAAAAGAAAAAAAAGGGAAGAAAAGAAAGGAATATACTGCAAATTTTTTTTGCAGTATTAGCAAGTTGTATAGATGCTTGAAAGTAATGTTTAGGTTGAGATCTTTTTTTGTAAATTGGGTCATGTTAAGTCCATCAACTTTAGAATTTTGAGTTGAATTTTAATGTTTGACCTGCTATTGTTTAAATGAACGAAAGCATGACAAGAAGTTATGAAAGATTAGTGTTGACTCATGGCTCTTCTTCTACTTTTCTTTCTTTCTTTCTTCTTCTTCTTTTTTTTTTTTTTATAATTTAAAATTTTCAGTCCAAAGTTGTCTCATGAGGTTTTTGAAATGCATATGAAAAAGCCAAAATGGTTCACCAGGAAAAAGACAAATAGAAAAGGAGCAACTTTAACGTTGTGTTTGATTCGGGGATTTGAAGAGGGATTTGGAAAAGAAAAGGAAAAAAGTGTGAAAATAAGTGAAATATAGGTATGTTTTATTCATATTTCACTTATTTTTTTTCATTTTTTTCTCTAAATTCTTCCTTAAATTCCTAAATCAAACACAACATAATGGTGATAATGGAAGTGACAAAATTACTATTATTAGCTGATATTTTATTATTTAGGATAAATGATAAATATATTTTTAAAATTTGTTTAAAATTGGATTTATCTTATATAGTTTTAAAAATTATATTTCGTTTTTTAAATTTTTAATTTTATGATAAATTGTCATCTTTATTAATAAATTATTAAGTACATTAATAATTTTTAATAATATTAAAATTTTATTTTAATTAATAATTTAGATAATTTTATAATATTTAGGTAAAAAAGATAATTTCTATTTTATAATTTCTATTTTACATAAAATTAAATATTTTTCAAATAAAAAAAAATAATTTATATTTTAAATAAATCTTAAAAAATATATTTACAATTTATCCTTATATTTAAGTACGCACTTGTGCAAAAACCGACCTTACCTAACCATCATTGTTGCGTCAACTATGTGCATTATTCAAACATAGAATATGAGTGTATTGTTGTCTATGTGCGTTACTCAAAAATAGTATATCAGTGCTTGGATGGAGATGATATTTGGACACGAGGATGATAAAGAATAAAATGAGTTTTTAGTCTTAAAAAATAATGAAAAATGAGTTGGATCCCAGCACTCCCACTGTTTTGTGATTGGTTCAATTTTTTTTTTAATTTTTTTTTCCCTGTCTACAAGTCATAGCCCCCCACGTGGAGGTGAGGTGCTGGGGTCTTCTCTTGCTGGGGGTCCCAGCAGGACTGAAAAATAATATAGGCATCATTTTACATTTGTATAAGAGCATCTCCAACGGTAATAGGTATTTTACCTATCTAAACATTACTATAAAGTATATATTTTATTTTGCCTGTTAACTGTTTCATGTTTTTACTCCAACCATACTCTGTATTTTAACTATTTATTCAAATATTATTAACTTTATAGAATGCCATATCAGCAACAAAGATGGAGGGAAATAATCCTAATGATTAAATACATTTTGCCTAGCCTTGAAGGCTAGTTACATGTAGCTAATGAATGTGAATTGAGCTAAAATGCCTAATCATATGCCTAGTGCATTGGAGTTGAAAAAAGTAAGTCATACTAGGCATTTTGACTAACAAACATTATATACCTAGTGGGTTGGAGATACTCTAACTAAGGCCAGCTTCAATTCTTTATTAGATCTTTTATCAAATTTAAATTTGATAAATATTAATAAAAATGATATTCTAACTATTTTATCAGTTTAGTATCAAATGAAGGAAATAATACTTTTTCATCAAATGAAGGGAACGTTTATCCTTTTATCAAATTTGTAAGTGACTGTTGGGCCACACATCCTCCCATACAACCGATTTTGTGATAAATTTGATGAAAATTTACTCTAGATAGATAACCGGCCGGATTTGATGAAAAGGTTAAAGTGTATTGTATCAGATCAAATTTTTACTCAAATTTAATAAAATATCTAATGAACAATTGGAGATGCTCTGATGGATATAGACAAAAATTTTATAAAATTTATTTTTAAGAGAGTACAACTCGATTAAGTCAAAATTATGAAATTATTTATAATTTATTCATTATTTAGGAGAAATAAGTATAATTTACTAAAAATGAAATGAAAGGCATATACACAAGATAACAATTATTGACAGGATCAATCATTTTTAGTTGAAGACAAAGCACACACTGGAGCTCAACATTCTGTTACTGTAGTCATGAACTAAATGCACCTATCAAATCCCTATTAACTCAAATAATTAAAGATTCTAAGATTTCATTTGATTGTGATTAAAAAGTTAATTAAATAAACAAAAGATTATTTTAAACCTTAACTGATTTAGTAAATTTATATTGCATCAAAATAATTTATTTTAGTCACTCTATAAAAAAATAATAAAATAAATTTCTTGAAGTCAGTCTATATAAAATTTTGTTTTGATTTTAATTGAGACTCTTACAAGTAGACAATGAGATTGATTCCCGAATTAGTCAGTCCAATAAACTAAAACTGAGTTATTAAAAAAAACACAATAGAACAAATCGTTTTTTTTCTTCTTCTGCACAAATCTAAGATTCGAAAACAAACTTAAAAAACAAAATGAAAGAATGAAAAAAACAATAAGACCATGATGCCTTTACCTTTACTTTGGGATGAAAAAACAGGATAGATGTTGAAGAGATAAGAAGAGCATTGTGTGGGGGGGCAAAAAGAGAAATGGGCCGTCCCGTTGGGTTATATTCCATGCCTTTTAAATCCTATCATAATTGAATAATTTTTTTAAAATATTTTTTTGTCTCTTTTAAAAAAGTCAATTGGTCCTTTGTGGCCTCACAAGATTTGGATTCATGGGTCCCTCATTCCATTTACTTGTGGGACCCTTTTACCTTATATTAATTACTATTATTATTTGTCTTTTTTATTATTATATGTACATTGGTCAAGACCAACTTTTATGAACTTACATCCCTAATTAACAAGTTTGTACCAACTTTTACTTTGGCATTTTCATATCTTACTAGTTGATCCATTGTATTAAATATTCTTATCTCACCTCCCATAACAATAAGTTTGGTTATTCAAATATAAATACGGTTAATTATATTCAAAACTTTTTTAATTATTAATGTATATTATTTGATTTTTCAATAAATTCGTACATATTAATTTCATTAACTTTGAAAATCATAAAAATATGCTTTTTTTAGAAATGATATAAAAAGATAAAACTAATACATTTTTATTTGTGATAATTTCTCCTTGAACTAATTTCCTTACCAAAAAATTGGGTAAATAAGAACATTTGACCTATTACAAGGAAGTTCAACTATGTAGTCATAAACATTTAAAAATTAACAATGATTGACATTTTCATTTTTTGAAGACCCTCACAATCCCTTTGGATTTCCATCATTGATGTTGTGTGTCCCACATATACATGAGTAGGTCCCATTCAAATATCAATGGTAGAGATCTAAAGAGAGTTGTGAGATTTTCAAAAATAGAAATCTTAAACATTTTTCTTTAAAAATTGCTTTGAATCCCTCCAACTTTACATGTCCTCACCCGTGTTCTTTTGTTTTGACCTTTTTTAGGTCCTTTTCTCTCTCTTTCTGTTTTAGTCTACATTTATTCCCAGGCTTATTTATTTTATTCTTGTATCTCAAAATTTTAATTATTTTTTGCTTATTTGGAATAGGAAAAATCTCAAATAAGTACGACATTGAAAAACTATTCTTATTTTTATAAGGAGTAACTCTTTTTCTCTGCATGGTGCAAATTTTTTTTATATACCAAACATACACCAAATTTTTTTTGGTTCTTTTACTATCCCATTAAAATTCAGTTATTTCTTTGAGTGTCTAAACATGTCTTTTTATAGAGTATGACCTAACACTAGTGGTCATAGCAAATACCTAACCATAAAGCAATTTGATATTGTTCCACCACACAAGTTGCAAAATCTAATCTGATCTGTTGATAATAGCTGTGAAATGCATGTCCTAAAAGGACAGTAGAAAAAGGAGATCAGGCAAGGGATTATTATTCTTTTTATTTATTTATTATTATTCATAAATGGATATAGAGATGGACTATTCTAACATATCTATCAGGGAGCATTATCTGTTAGCACTTATAGCATATCTGCAGGGAATCTCACCGCACCTATGTTGGGGCCAAAGCTTAGGCTCCTGCGTGCTTCAGGCGCTGAAGAATATGTTTAATCCTAACAAGCGTCATCACGCATCCGTCCAAAATGCGGCGGATCGGTTTGGTTCGGTCGGTTTTGGCGGATCGGTATATCCGCTGCTCACCCCTACTCTCTCTTTCTATTTTATTCCCAGGCTTATTTATTTTATTCTTGTATCTCAAAATTTTAATTATTTTTGCTTATTTGGAATAGGAAAAATCTCAAATAAGTACGACATTGAAAAACTATTCTTATTTTTATAAGGAGTAACTCTTTTTCTCTGCATGGTGCAAATTTTTTTTATATACCAAACATACACCAAATTTTTTTTTTGGTTCTTTTACTATCCCATTAAAATTCAGTTATTTCTTTGAGTGTCTAAACATGTCTTTTTATAGAGTATGACCTAACACTAATGGTCATAGCAAATACCTAACCATAAAGCAATTTGATATTGTTCCACCACACAAGTTGCAAAATCTAATCTGATCTGTTGATAATAGCTGTGAAATGCATGTCCTAAAAGGACAGTAGAAAAAGGAGATCAGGCAAGGGATTATTATTCTTTTTATTTATTTATTATTATTCATAAATGGATATAGAGATGGATTATTCTAACATATCTATCAGGGAGCATTATTTCTTAGCACTTATAGCATATCTGCAGGGAATCTCACCGCACCTATGTTGGGGCCAAAGCTTAGGCTCCTGCGTGCTTCAGGCGCTGAAGAATATGTTTAATCCTAACAAGAGGTCATGAAAACTCGAACCTAAACCTTAAACGACGAATTTAAAAGTTTTATCCACTGAACCAACCTGGTTGGTAAGGGATTATTATTCACGAGGGAGTGGGGGTGGAGGAATACATATTATAATTTTTTTTATTTATTTTTATTTTTCTCTGTCTTTCATGTATATATGTCTTTCTTCTCATCCAAACTTCTCTAAAATGCCAAAGATATGGTGACGATGTTCTCTGAAGCAGACTTTCTAAAAAGACATAAAAACT